GAATGATTATTCTATATTTGTGAGAAATTATGAGAATACAATTGTAATTTTACTGGTATATGTAGATGATATCATAATCACAGGAAACAGTATTGCTGAATTAGAAAATGTTAAGAATTTCTTAAAATCACAATTTTTTATTAAAGATTTAGGAGAGTTAAAGTATTTTTTAGATATTGAGGTTATTAAAAATGATAAAGGTATTTGTCTGAATCAAAGAAAGTATTGTTTAGAGTTGTTGCATGAGTTTGGTATGCTTGGATGTAAACCTGTTAAGACTCCTTTAGAAACAAATTTGGTTTTAAAAAGGGAGTCAGATTTGGATAAATCTGATTGTGTTGTTAATATAACTGAATTTCAAAAACTTATTGGAAAATTAATTTACTTGACAATGACACGTCCAGATATTTCATATGCTGTGCACATTTTGAGTCAATATACATAAACCTCATAAATCTCATTTAAAAGTAACTCACTTAGAACGCTTTTTAAAGGATTACGTGGTACGATTAGATCGAATAAGCCTTTCTGGAATAAATACTCGGCCGCTTGTGAACCCTCGGGGTACTGTTTTATTCAATGTTTGTTCAATTACTCTTTTACCCGCAAAGGCAATGTAGGCATTGGGTTCGGCAATAATGATATCCCCCAACATACCAAAACTAGCTGTCACCCCACCGGTAGTAGGAGATGTAAGAATTGGTACATAGAATAACTTTTTATTTGATTGATAATCATATAAAGCAGAAGATATTTTAGCCATTTGCATCAAGCTTATCTCATGTCTTTAGGGGGGACAACAAAGCTGCAGATTGTTTGGCTGCTTATGGTCATACTCATTCAGACTCCATTTTATTTAATAGCTTAGGGTCTCTTCCTTTTGATTCTAAAAAGCCTGTTCATAGCCATGGCATGTTCTTTTTTAGAGCTCCCTAGCTTGTTTTGATGTTCAGGGGTAAGGCCTTTATGTCCCCCGGAGATATCCATTTTCCTGGAAAGACAAATAAGGCATTCCGATTGATACCGCCAGGAGGGGGAAAACCAAATTCCAAAGAATACAAAAAATTGAAAAATTGGCTCTATATCCAACGAATGAAACTTTCCAGGTATGAAAAAAAGTATTTTGTTTTGGTTCAACCTGTAGTCCCATATAAAAAAACGGATGGTATAAATATTGGATTTTTGAATAGAAGAACAAGATTATTGAATAGCATGGCTAGGGGGCTAAGATAACTCAAATGGGAGAGCCATGTTATGGGTGACCTTATTGCACGGTTCAGATGGAAATTCTCTTGTATCTTGGAAAAGTAAGAAACAAAGTACTGTTTCGCGTTCTTCAACTGAGTCTGAATATAGAGCATTGGGCTCTGTGGCTTGTGAAATAATTTGGATTTTAAAATTATTGTTTGATTTTGGTGTTAATGGTTTAACTCCAGTTAATGTTTTTTGTGATAATGAGTCAGCTATTAAATTAGCTTTAAATCCTGTATTTCATGAAAAAACTAAACATTTTAAAATAGATCTGCATTTTATTCGTGAAAAAATTGAAAAGGGTATTTTGAAAATAAATAAAATTAGTTCTTTAAATCAAAATGCAGATATTTTGACAAAGTCCTTGAGTATTTCACAGCATGAATATATTTCTAGTCGTTTGGGTATGATAGATGTTTTTAAAAGTTAATAAAATTTTGAATTAATGATCAGTTTGTGGGGGGGGGGGGGGGGGGGGTGTTGAAATATGTATCCGATATGCCAAACTTGTCATTAATTCTTATGCAGGGTAAGTTGTGTATATTTGTATTTGTGTTGGGTGTGTTGTGTATTTCGTGTGCAGATTACAGGGTTTACACGCGGGTTAATGGGTAGCTCCATGGAGTTGTGTACTCGAGGTATATATTGTGTGTTTGGTGTATAGAGAGTCTGTCGATAGATCTTTTCTTCATTTTTCTGGTTCTCTGTTCTCTCTCAAGTTAGGGTTTTCTCCCTGTGTGTTCATACTTAAATCTAGGAGATCTTTGTGTGTAAAGTCTTCTTGAGATTCATGTAAATGTTTGAGTGTGAGTGAATTTTGTAGAGGGTTTTCCGATGTAAGTAAATGTTTGATCGAACTGGTTTATAGTGAATAAACTGTTCAAGTTGGGAATCGTTGGTGTTCTTTACTTTCTTTACAGATTTACACAACAAATAAACTATTTTTTTGCCTATTACAATATATATATATATATATATATATATATATATATATACACACACACACACACACAAACACACAATAAATGACATTGCACTTTACTTTTTTTTATGAAAAAAAGTAAGGTTGTATACTTTTTACTATTAATCAGGTCTTTTATGGATTATCTTATCAATGAATCTAACAAATTATTTGGGTAAACAACACAACATATTTTCTGTTTTTTAACCGACTTAGTGATCATTATGCCCTTGGTCGTTTAAAAGTCAGAAATAACAACAGACTGATCCTACTACTACTACCAAAAAGTAAAGTGATTCATATTTACTTGAGATTTCATTTTGATTTGCTTATACTTACTTTGTTCTTGTGATTTTGATTTGAATTAGAAGAGACAAAAAGTGGACAAGATGTTCTTTTGTTAAAAAAATAGTTATTTCAAGAGTTTTTAATGAAAATGCCCCTACATACCTTTACTTTTTACTAAAAAATAATGATTTTTAACACATTTTGTCCAAAATAACCCTATATAATGTTATTTGGGGTATGAAATGCTAAAATGTGACAATTAAAAACCTACATCAGGTTAGTCATTTTATTTATTTAATTGGTCAAAATATCTATTTTTATTTATTTATATATTATTGGAACTTTTATAATGCAACTTTTAGAGTAAAAAAAGTCGAAAGTACGATGTCATAATAGAATAAGATGGAAGTAAGATGCTACTGTACAAAAATGAATGAAAGCATGCTAAATCCAAAAATGAACAGTCGATGAAGCGAAGATTTTGTTAGCCGGGACATCATCAAAGTCGAACAAGTACAACCCGGTGCAGCTACGTGTTGTGAGATGACTTCCTCCCTTTTAATTCAACTTTTGACTATTTTGCCCGTGTGTGCTTTGGTGGAGTTTGACATTTCTGATGTTGCTACATATATTTTGTAAGTATGCCGTGGGTTAGATGATGTTGGTATGTGGTAAGGAAATGCAAACCCTTCGCTTTTATTATTATTATTTTTTATTTTTTATGTCAATATTTTCAATAATCTTTGTTTTTTTTTTTTCAAGATTTTCATATTTGCTGCATTTAAGCACATACATTACACATTTGTCATCGACATTATTTCAAATAGTAAAAAAATCATTTTTCAAAGTGATAAGACAAAAAAGCTGCCGTCATGATTAAAAAATAAACAACCTAACAAAATTACATTGTTATACATTATGCATTTATCAACACCAGTTTAACCCGTCCTAATAACATACAGTACCAAAAAATATTTAATTTCCTTGTTTTAATGCAATTGTTTATTACTGGTTGGTTGTCCAGCTCCTCTTTGACTTTTTTTTTTCTTCGTTTTTTATATTGCCAAATATAGCAACATACTTAACCTCTATGCTTTAATTTTTACCCATAATATCAACTTACTTAGAATTTTCTATTGGTTATAGAAAATTTTAACCTTTTGGTTTTCTCTTTCTTATGTGGCATAAGATCAAATGCTTGCAAAAGATTGGATGTGCATTTCCTTCTGCAAGAAGGCTGAATGTTGGAGAATATTGTAATGGCCACTTCCATTTAGTGTATTATCTTTTCATTAAATAAAATTCATTGCTTGCAATCGTTTAGAAGTTAATAATAATAATTCATATGATTTGATGATTCATGTGTTGTTTCTTTTGTTTATGGCTTCAATAAACTACTTATTATGACTTTTGTTATACGACACTCTAAAAACTATAAAGATTATAGTTCTCATTTGTTATAACAAGTTTTCTCACTATGGGAGAACAAAAAAAAAGTCACTAATGTGGTGTCAGTTTCAAATTAATTATATCAATCTCAACAAGAACCTGAAGGATAATACTGAAGAATTTGTTGTAGTAATTTTTAATTTCCGTGTCTTTTAAAAATTTTGATTTCATGTTATATGTTTTGATTTTAATTTATGTTTTTTAGTTTTAATGTTACGATCTTTGTAATTTAAATATTCTATTTCTTATTTTTAAATTAATGAAATGTTCCTATATAATTCATTTGTTGCTAAGTTTATACCCCTGCTTTTTTATTTCTATTTCTATAATTTAAATAATGCCAAACAAAAACTAGATACCCAAACCTAGCAACCCACCCCACTCCTTCCTCTTTCTCAGACTTGCAGACAATAAAAAATAGACCTTTCCATTCCACTTCCGCCTTCTCCATCCACCGCCCCCCTTTGATGTGTCCTTTCCTCCGCCTCCCTCCATTAACCCCTCCCTTCGCCGTCCCCCTTTGCGAGTTTTGTTCATAAATCGTACCGGTTTGCCATCGCCATCACCATCACCATCATCGTCACAGGTTCTGGTCACAAAATCTAGATCTGCATCTTCATCTTCACCATCACATGCCATTAACGACCAATCAATACCAGATAGCGATCAACATACCAAAAAAAATTGAAGATGACGAAGATGAAGGTTCGAAATCACCCATGAGATTATTAAAAAGTAATTTGAGCGAGGATAGAAGATTTGTTCATTAACAACCTCTTTAGTCCTGCCACTATGAATTCTAGAAGTTCCTGCCACTATGAATTCTAGAAGTCGACGTCAGTTGAATAATTTCGGATTTCCATTTTCCACTATCGCAAGGTCAAAAAGTCAGTCAACACCTTATATTCCCTCGACATGTAATAGTCACTCAACAACCCATCTAGATCTCTCTTTGTTAGTTTATTTCACCTCCTAAAATAACTCCAGTCTCATCTCTGATTCCAGGACAACAATGGCATCATGCCATCTTCTTCTTCTTCTTCTTTTTAGCATGATATTACTAACCACGAAGATACCAATATACTCTTCTTTCTCAACCCACACGTTAACTCCAGGCTCATCTATATCAGTCGAAAACAAAGACCACCTTTTAGTTTCACCCAACGGTCTCTTCACCGCCGGTTTTCATCCCGTCGGAGAGAATGCTTGTGCTTTTGCCGTCTGGTTCTCGGAGAAACCCACATCCGGTAGTCGCACCGTCGTCTGGATGGCTAACAGAGATACACCGGTAAACGGAAAGCGTTCAAAGCTATCCTTATGGGAAGATGGTAATCTTGTTTTGATAGATGCTGGTCAATACGTTATTTGGTCAACGCAGACGGAGTCAACGTCTTCCTCGGTGGAATTACAACTTCATAGCTCAGGTAACCTCGTGCTCCATGGAGACGAAGGAGGACAAGAAGGAAAGCCTCTTTGGCAAAGCTTTGATCACCCGACAGATACCCTTCTTCCAAATCAACTCTTCACTAAAAACACACAGCTTGTTTCTTCTAGAAGTGCAAATAACTACTCTTCGGGTTTCTATAAGCTCTTTTTCGACAATGATAGCATTCTTCGACTTCTATATGATGGTCCAGAAACAACCAGTGCTTACTGGCCTGATCCTCGGATAACAACTTGGCGAGGTGGGAGATTTCAGTTCATAGAGAGTCGCATAGCAAAGCTTGATTCGAATGGTGAATTCATCTCATCAGATGGTTGCAGATTCAAATCATCTGATTTTGGGACTGGAGCACTACAAAGAATGATGAAGATCGACATAGATGGTAATCTAAGACTTTACAGTCTCATTGAACACGAAAGAAGAAAGAAATGGGAGGTAAAATGGCAAGCGCTTTCACATTCTTGCTGGATCAATGGAGCTTGTGGACCAAACAGTCTATGTACATACTCTCATGTTTCAGTTAGGAAATGCAATTGCTTGTATGGATTCAAGATGGTGAATTCTCAAGATTGGAGTTACGGGTGTGAACCTGAATTCCAGCCATGCACAAAAGACGATTGTGGTTTCCTTGAGCTTCCCAATTCGGAATTCTATGGCCACGACTATGCATTTTTCACTAATTCCACTCTCGATGCTTGTAAGAATCGTTGTTTACAGAATAGCACTTGCAAAGGGTTTCAATTAGGATGGATTCTCGACAAGGGATATTTTTGTTTCTTGAAGGCTTCTTTACATAACGGGTATCAAATGGGAATCACCGGTTTGATGTATATCAAACTCCCCAAAACTTTACTATCATCTTTCAATCAGAAAACCACCTCAAAATCGAGCTTCAGTTGTCCACCCCCTGTGCTCACGCCCTTATTAAGATCATACCACAAAACACACGATGTAAAGACGCTTGGAGTCATGCTAGCGTTCGGATGCGCAATCGGGTTTATCGAGATCATCTGCATAGTGTTCTTCTGGTATTGCAGCAGTAAACACTCATCATCCACAACCGACCAAATCTATTTTCCACCTGCAATGGAGTTTAGAAGATTTACATACAGAGAGCTGAAAAGGGCGTCACGTAATTTCAGTGAAGAGATAGGGAGAGGTGGCGCTTCCGTTGTGTATAAAGGCAAGTTAATAGACAACAGGATTGCAGCAATCAAGAGGCTCAAAAGTAATCATCAAGGAGAAGCTGAATTTCAAGCGGAGATAAGTACAATTGGGAGAGTGAATCATATGAACCTGTTAGAGACGTGGGGATACTGTGCAGAAGGAAAACATAGGCTCGTGGTGTACGAATACATGGAGAACGGATCATTGGCTGAAAACTTGGGTGTTGATAAACTTGAATGGGCGACAAGATTTGATATTGCAATAGGAACTGCAAAAGGATTGGCTTATATACACGATGAGTGCTTGGAGTGGGTTCTACATTGTGATGTGAAACCCCAGAACATACTGTTGGATGCGAATTTCAATCCTAAGGTGGCGGATTTTGGTTTATCGAAGGTATTGGATAGAGGTAGTATCGATCATTGGAATTTCTCCATGATGCGAGGGACTCGAGGTTACATGGCACCTGAATGGGTGCTAAATCAACCGATTACCTCAAAAGTTGATGTATTTAGCTATGGCGTTGTGATTTTGGAGATGATAACTGGAAGGAGTCCGGCGATCAATCAAGATGGGGAGAATGAGAAGATGCCTACAGTGATCGAGTGGGTTAAAGATAGGATTCAAACGGTCAACGGGAGTCAAACTGGATCTTGGGTTAAGGACATTGTTGCGCCTTCAATTAGAGGTGAATATGATGAGACGATGATGGAAAATTTGGTGAGAATTGCAGTGCGATGTACGGATGAAGATAAGGAGGCACGACCCTCGATGAGGCAGGTGGTTAATATGCTTCTCCATGTGTAAGTGTTACTAATTATGTTTATGTTTGAGGTAGATTGTAACCTAATGATAAAATGTTTACTAAGATTTTATAAAAAAATTATATAAAAGTATATTGCAAATAATGTTTTGTATTCGTTTTAAAGGGTATGTTTGGTTGGATGTAATAAAATGAAAAAAAAAAAAAATGAAATTAACTAATTAAGGATGTTTTCTATGGACAAAAATACCCAAATAACACAAAAAGACATAAATTTACAATACTTATAACGTTATTTAGTCAAAATTTTGTACCGCATGGAAATTCAAATAATTAAATAACCACAACTACCATATTAATTTAAATAAATAAGCAACGATGAAACTTTTTATAGTAAACCACTTAAAAGTTATCTAATAAAATATTTCTCAATGTCTATTGAAAATAAAACAAAAATAACAATCGTTATCATAATATTCAAAAGCATTGGCCCGAAAAGAATACCAAGTGTAAAGTCACATTTAACTATAATCACCCAAAACCCAAAGTCTCTTATATCATGAGCTAAGAAAATTACCTTAACAGTATGTTTTTCCTATTCTATTCTTGTTAGGCTTTCATAAAATATTAACGAAAAATTAACTAATAGCATCATTTCCAAGTTATATAAAAAAAAAACTACACTCCTGTTGTAAACTTATGATAAATATTCTCTTTAAACTTATGATAAAAGGAACAAAAATAACGAAGTAAAAGGCACATACTAAATAAAGCCACCTGTGTGTTTACCTTTCACTCTACATATCACTTTATGTCCATATTTACCTTAAAAAATGCCTACCATGATTGCAAGCTTTCATGAATATGAAGAATACTTGAAGATAACTTGGGGGAAACCTAAATGTCTATCAACCATGGCTTACTCCTCAAACCAAGTGCAGTCAGATTTATCAATTCGGTCATTTCATAAAGAAGAATATCGTTAAAAAGTTTGGAGCATGTGGAAAGTATTTCAATTACTTCACAAATTGAGGAACTTGCAAAAGGAATATATTAATCAAGAAGATAGTTCATTCAGCCATTTCATCAAACACTTAATACTTAATAGTCACTAATTTTTTAAGAGAACCAATGGCAAAACCGGTTAGAGTGTGGTGTTTTACCAATGGGATTTTATTAGAGTATTTCTGCACCACGAATAGTTGTTGAAGGAAAATATCATGAGAGAAGTGATTTCAACTTGGAAAGGTTACTTCCTTCTACCAATTGGGTGATGAGGGCATGGTGTTTAGTAAAAATGTTTAATGTATATGAAAAGCAGATTCAGATGTAGCTTTCCTCCCTTAAAGTGGGACAAAAAGACTCTTAGTTTCATTATTATGATTATGTATAACTGATATTTGAGTTATTTGAATTGAAATATTAAAGCGCAACAAACATGTGGTCTATCTATGAATCGAATATGATTATGCCATGATCTTGGCATCTTTTCAACAATGCTACTGAAAATTTAAATGGAAAGATCGATTTCGTTTCACTTATTTGGATTTTTCATAGGTTGAGGTGAAAAAAAGGAACGAATGAGACTCCTACAACGTGTCCTGTTGGATTTGTATTAGTTGATGGGCTTGGGCCTTTCGACTTTAAGCAAGGGGACAACACTATAAGTGAAAAATAATTATGGTTTATGGGTTCCAATTTTGCTATTTATTTGACACTTTTTAATGTTTTATAAAGGAATCTATCATGAAATTGATATGGAACTTGCTAAAAACACCAACTCAGGAGCAAAAAGAATGTCAAGAACCAAAGCCTATTTTGCTTGATACATGAGAAGTGAAGGTGACATATGATTGGGCGGTGAGTATCATATTTTTTATAAAAATCCCCATAATGTTACAAAATTGCCATTCGGGTATGTATGTCTTAGAAAATTGGTAACATTTGAATTTACATAACATTTTTTTTTCTTTATCTTTGTTAGCCATCAATTCTCCCGGTTCAAATATTAAAGATAGGGCAGATGGAGATTATGAGTGTACCTATTGGTACCACTGGCACGCTGGAGGTAGGTATCTAGTATAATTTAGACATTTAAATAATAGTCGAACACTTTAATTTTTTTGTAACTTTTTAAATTTAAATTGGTAGATTAACATGGTTTTTGAATGATAGAATTCACAACTACAACTTCATGTCTTTTGATAATGGAATCGGAAAAGAATCTGGAATCATGTTGGGGGAGAGATTGAATGGTCATGATCCTAGTGATTATTATGATGTAAGTAGTTCTTTTGAAGATTTTTTTTTTTTTCATATTTTTTTTTTAAAGTCGCCGTGATGAAAATGTTTCAAAATTTACATATGCAGCCTTCTTAATTGGTATGTTTTTAATTTTTTTTTATTTATTTTAACATCTGCTACACTGCTATTTTTATTGGAAGGAAAGATATCTTGGAAGAGTTGGAATACGAAGGAATCATAAACAATTGCATATTTGGTTGACTTTAAATGGAATGTAATTAGATAAATAAAAATTAAATATTTGTAATTTTTTTATTTATATTTAAAAATTTTTGTTGGCCAAACGTTAGATATATCCCATTATTTTATTGCATTTTTATCGTAAAAGACCAATAGGATGTATGATTATTGATTTACATGAGAAAACCAACCATCTACATTGAATTAGAAAGTGAATAACTAGCTTTTGGTTTTTCCTTCCTTCCGTTTATCCATATTATAGCATTGTACTTCACAAATGATACCTAATTGTGATTAGATATTTCAAAGTACAATGATATAATTGGATAGATTTTTTAGAGTGAAATGTCTCAATAAGAATAAGAAAAAAAATGAAGGTATAATGTAATAAAAGGAAATGTAAGTAAGACGCTTAAATAAACAAATAATATGAAGCATGTTGTTGTTTCTTACATTTAACTCTAATAGAAAACAAGAATGGAATCATATTTCCTTCCATCCGAGCAACCAAACATGCCATGAAATAGAATCTTGAATTCCATTTCCTTTGGAACATTTCCCTTTAAACTAATTCATTTAAATTCATGGAATCTTGAATTCCAATCCCTTCATTATGCATGATTGCTATTTTTCATATTGTAGTAATAAGATGCTGAAATCTAATTTCAGAATGTCAAAAAAAGATTTTTTATACAATGTTGTATTGAAATTATGTTGCTATTTCTTGTATTTCGAATGCTAAATGTTTTTTACTGATATAATTTGGCAGAATTCAAAGTAAAATGTCTCGATAAGAAAAAAAAAATCTATCTGCCGCTAAGCACAAAAGGATTTCATAGCATCCTACTTTTTTTTTGGAGAAATAACATTTTGGAATACATTACTAAAAAAACATTTCACATCTTTTAAAAACGTTTTAAGACTATAAAACAAATTTCTAAGACTTTTTGTCTACTTATAAAAAAGCTTTTTTTGACTTCTTTGGAATAAAAAGTTTGATTTTATAGCATTCTACTTTCATGGAAAATAACATTCCATAATAAAAAAGATTTTATGTTACTATTTTTTATTTTTTTTGTTTGTAAAACATTTTTTTTTTTTTTTTACTTTTTCGATTGTAAAAAAAGAACATTTTCCCGATCTTTTTGGATTTAAAAACATCTTATGGCATCAAACTTTCTAGAAAATTAGCATTATATAACACATTACTTAAAACAAGATTTTACAAAACCTTTTTTCTTGTTTTTCGATTGTAAAAAAAGAACATTTTCCCGATCTTTTGTGATTTTGACATTTGAGATTTATAAATTCAACAAATTAAAATAAAAGAGATGTTGTTTATTGTGGGGTGTAATTATGATAATTTGTAGTCATAAAAATGTTTAATATGAATTGAGGGGCCAAGGTGTCATTTAAAAGAATTTATTTTGGTTAATTCATTAGAGTTAGGAATGTTTGGGATTTATCTATGACACTTGAAGGGCTTAACTGAAAAATTAAAAAGAAAACCCTTTTAATTTTAATGGATGTAATTATGGATCTTGAAGGGTGTGTCCGTTTCCTCCTTGCCACTGTTCCCTACTTGCACACATAAAGAAAAAAAAAATCGGCAATGCCATTGATTTTGTGGGTGTCGATTGGAAAAATAAAAGAGAGACTGATCCCTCTTTCTCCTTGTGCGTTGTCGGTTTAGAGCAAGAGAAGAAAAAATGCAATTGGCTTGGAGGGAGGAAGAAAGAATCGAGCCAAGCAAGGGGGGGGGGGGAGAAAGAAGAATTGTTTTGTCGGTCCTAGAGAGGGGGAAGGACTGTGAAAAATCATTCAATTGGTGGTAAAATTCTCTAGTTCATCTTCTCATCATGTTCATAGCTCAATTGCTTTCCAATTGGGTGAGTTGTGATGTCAACTTCATCTTATTTGATGTTAATTAATCTACCTTCTTCATCTTGCAATCCTTCTTTGGTTAATTTCCAGCTTGTTGGGTGTTTTATGGATGGATAATTGCTATCAAAATGTTTTTGTAAACACCCATAAGACCTTTATTGTTTATGTCCTTGAATTACTCCAAGTTTTGGGGACATTATATTCTTTGTTGATTGAAGAAATTCATGTTGTTGTTATCTTGGTTCAGGGAAATAATTTTCTGTAAAAAGACAGTGTTTTGAGCCATCCAAAAGATCTCCAAAACAGTCCTTAAAGGTCTTAATATGAGCCTTAATGGTGGAAGAAACTCAACCCCTAGTGGTGTTTCCTCTTTTAACAATGAACTTTGTTTTTCTCATAAAAACAACGTACTTTGAATCAAGACTTGGGGTTGAAATTGTTATTTTACTTCTTGAAATGTTAGTACTATTAAGAACTCAATTTCCATCTTTATAGTTGATTTTGGTTATGGCTTAATGGTTTAAGTTGTCAATTAACCCTTAAAATGCAATGCTGGAAAATTCTGTAAAATTACAAATCTATCCCTGTTAATATATAAAAATCATCAAAAGTCAGATTGGTGATCCATAAACTCTCAAAGTTTTCATTTTGGGTCTAGTTTGTCCATGAGTTTTCCCATGTCCTGATATTGTCTCTAACCAAGGTGAAAATCTCCATTTTCACAAACATCGAAAATTAGCTGCATGGATATGCAATTTTGTAAAATTCATAGAAAATTGTAAAACAATCGTTTGGATCGTGAGAGTAGTAATTTTAAACTTAAAAGTATGAACTACCGGAATATGGAATAAAGTTGAAATGTTTACAGGTTTAAGTGGTGATAAAGTTGCCTCGAACAGGTTGCTGTTTCATGTTAAAATCTGAAAATTTGGCCTAATGACAAATTTGCATGTTTGGGTATTAAAATGCTATTATTTGTTCATGTAAACTTCTATTAATATATTTCTTTGTGTTTCACTATGGGAAGGTTTGATACCTCAGTTCCTACAAGAGTTGAAGGGTAGAGAAGACACGTTTATGGCAAAGGCGAGTTAATCTTGTGGATTTCAAAGTACTTTGTTAAGAAATGCCATATCTTAGATGGATTGGAATGAACCTAGGCTATTTCGGTTTCATGTGACCATATTATGTGTGATATATTTTTGGGTTGCTATGTTCCTTTATTTATATGAGAACTTATGATGCCTAAATGCTAGATTCTTACCCTTTTCATGTGAGTGGTGTGTTAGGGCCATGATAGAAGCAGTGTTTTGTGATGATTATATGTGATGGATGCATGCCTTGCTTTCTTGGAAACACTTGTCTATGATGATTAGGACAAAGCATGATATTGATGTTGTCAAGCCATAATGATGATATATGCATGAACTTATATATGATGTAAAATGTTCAACTTGTATTCACTTGTTTACATGTTTACATAAGAAGTAATTTGGGAAGTTATATGCTATAAAAAGATTTGGGAAGTTATATGCTATAAAAAGATGATAATTATTATGCATGAATACTTATGGATGTCATTTGTGTAAACCATTAAAAGATGAATTAATAGCTGATTATTTAAAAGGGGAATACACTAGTGGGTGAAGTGTACCAACCTAGACTTAGATGTGTACCCTATCCATATAATATGATGGCTTAGTGGGTTGAAAGATACATATAGGATAAGAGTTTAAGACAACTTTGATGCCAAATGGTTTTTGTAGACAACCACTCGGGATATGGTCCATGGTTTCCATGACATGAGTGGTGTTGACGATTGATGGAACGTTTGCACAAACACTACATGGGCGTTGGGAGATGTAACTTGATGGAATTGACACTGCTTGTTCGAATCCTTAATGACAATACATGTACTAGTATATGCAACATCGGAGTAGCGAACGCAACAAACCGGGAGCAATGTTATGGGTGAGAGTCGCATCTTTCCTAGTGTATTAGTCTGTTTCGGGTGGTAGCCAGGGTTGGAAAGGTAGCATATAGATTGGATTTTCCTGAGGAGCTCAGCAAAATCCACAACACCTTCCATGTGTCTCAGCTTCAAAACCGTGTGGTTGATGATTCAGTGGTTATCCCTATAGATGATACTTAGGTAGACAAACGCTTGAACTATGTTGAGAGACCAGTGACAATTTTAGACTGCAACACGAAGGCCTTGCACAAAAAGGTGGTATCCTTGGTCAAGTTTCTGTGGCGACATCGGAAGGGTTTCGAATGGACATAGGAACCCGAATCTGATATGTGAGAGCATTACCAGGAGTTGTTCATGGCAATGAACTTCGAGACAAAGTATAGTTTAAGTGGGAGAGAATTGTAACATTCTGATGATGAGGTATTTCCAAATTAAACCCTAAGTATGAAGATTTATTGTATCTTAGCCCTTGTGTATGAGAAATGTTGCAGAATGGCTCATATTGGCATTTTTGTATTATTTGGACCGAGGTCACATACTCTGGGTTAGCCTAGCTTATGTATGACGTATGTGCATGATCCTTAAACACTAATTTTTAGGGTTTGAACCCTATTTAAACATCCTTAAGTCCCCAACCTACCTTCTTTCATCAGCCTCCAACCCACCTTGGTCCCTAAACGAACCCTAATCCACTTTGGAGCACTCTTGAGCTTTGTATGTGTGTGTGTTTTGGTTACTTTGAAGGAGAGAGGTGAAGAATATAAGATCATATTGGAGGAGTAGGAGGAGTAGGACTCTTTGGATCCAGAATCTTATCACCATTTGGCATCAGTTGGAGGTAAAAAGCTTTGAACTTGATGAAACTATTGTTGGGTTTTGAGCAATCTAACCCTTCCTAAGTGTGCATGCAAC